TTCCCAGGGGCCCCCCCCGCCCCCCCCGACCATTCCCCCATCCGCTGTGGCTCCTCTCCTTCCCTCCATTATCGGAGCTGTTCAGCAGCGCCCCTGTGTCTCCCCGTCCTCTGGGATCGGGGGTGTGGCCCATCCGCTCGTTCAGCGCGCCGGAGCGTCCTGAGCAGTGCTGTCTACACTGCTGTGGCTGGGCCTCCCCAAGGCTTCACACGGGGCCTGGGGGCACGCTCGGACACAGGTCTCTGCCAGAGTTAGACACGCTCCAGGTGTCCGGAAGACCAGCCTCTGCCCCACTGGGCACAGCTTCACCAACGCGCAAGGACGGGGGTGGGAGGTGGAGGCCCAGGGAGACCGGGCACCTCTGCCCCCAGCCACGCTGCAGACAGGCAGCTCCAGGTACCCGAGGGGCCCTCTCAGCCCAGCTGCCCCCCCAGGTGCCGCCCACCCTGCCACCAGCCCTTTCGGACCCTCGGCCCGTCACGGCAGGCTCCTCCCCCCCACTCACCGGTGTGCGCTACCCACTTCCTCTGCAGTCCTCAGGGCTGGGCGCAGGTGGGAAGGAGGGACCGAGTCCTGGGGTCCCTCAGGTCACACGGTGGCCCCTGCCAGGCTGGACCCTGTGGAGCCACTCCTGGGCGGGGTAGGGGGGACGCTGAGCCAGGCAGGGCCCTGAACCCCGGATCCTCCACAGACCCTTTCAGCAGATCGAGCGCCTTCGGGGGCCTGGGCGGCCACACGCTGAGTGAGTGACCTGGCCACCGTGCCTTGTCCCAGCGGGGCCTCCCTTGGGGGTGAGCCGGGCTGAACCCTGACCCTGACCCTGACCCTGACCCCAGTGCATGGGCCCGCCTGGGTGCTGTGAACTGGGCTCCTCCAGCAGCCCCGCGGCCCCTCGGGGCAGCGCCCACGGCTTTTCCTCACGCCCTCTGCCCGCCCTGCAGCTCCCAGCGGCAGCATCTTTGCTCCCAAGGAGGGTGCCGTGCTGCACGGCCTGCCCAGCCCTGAGGCCTGGAGCCGGCTGCACCGGGGCCCGCCCTCCTTCCCCACACACCCCTGGCCCAAGCCTGTGGACGCTGAGCGCGTCTCAGCCCTGACCAACCACGACCGGGAGCCGGACCAGGGCAGGGAGGAGCGGTGAGTGCTGGCCGAGGGAGGGGCCGGGCCGGAGGGCCCCAGGTGACAGCAGGGACGGCCATGGCTGGAGCCCCACAGGGCTTGCTGGCCACAGGCAGGGCAGAGCAGCACTTTCAGGAAACCTGGCCCTGGGAAAGCAGCTCAGAGGGGCCGGAGCCCCGGGAGCCTGCGTCCGGCATGCCCTTCTACGCCCCGAGCGTCAGCTGGGGAGGGCTGCTCTAGGGGTCCTGTGGCTGGGAGGGCACGGTGAGTGGGGTTCAGAGCCAGGGGTGACATGACACAGGGAGCCTCGTGCTGACCCGCCAGGGCCTTACCAGAGCTGCGATGACCAGGCCAGCTGGCACCAGGCCCGGGGTCCCCAGGCAGTGCCACACCCTCTCCCGCTTTTCCCAGAACCCTAGCTGGGAGGTGTGTCTGGGGAGCCCCCAGTCGGCCCTGCAGCACTGTCGTGTGCTGGGCTCTGCTGGGCCCTGGGCGTGCACAGGCAGGCTTGAAGGGGCGTGCCAGGAATGGTGCACAGGGGCACAGGTACGGTTCTGCTGGGCTGTGAGCTCGTGGGGCCCACCAGGGAGGAGAGGCACCTGGGGATTAGCGCAGAAATGGGGAGGCCATGGACGAGGTCCTGGGCCCAGGGGGACGGGGGCAGCCTGCCTGGCTCAGGGCGTGCCCGCTGGGAGGAGGCCAACGTGCCCCATGGGAGCACTGAGCTGGCTTCTCTAGCCCACCTAGCCACTCAGGCCCTCCTCAGTGGGGTCCCTGAAGTGCGCACCTCCCTGGGGCTGGCCTGTCACCCACAGGTCAGTGTGGCCAACATGCATGGGGCGGGGGTCTGGGAGCCCCTCAGAGTCCATTCGTGTTGGGGTACCCTGGAAAGTGTGGGTACGATGGGGTTTTCAGGGTCCTCCCCAGCACATTTGGAGGGAGGGGTGCCCGCGTCTAGACCCCTCGACCACCCAGCGCAGCTCCCACTGTCCCCAGGGGCAGAGGCACCCCAGCTGGGTAATCACGTGCCACACGGAGCTCGGGACCACCCAGCTAGAGGGATTCCAGGGCTCAGCCAGCATCCCCCGGAGACCTGGGTGTCGCAGTGCAGCCAGTGGTGGAGGCCTGCTGTCCCCATGCGACCGTGTTCTGCAGAACCCCCACCCCGGGAAACAGAGGTCCCAGCGGGTGGAGCGGTGACGACCACTGACCTCAGGGGGACGCAGTGCCCAGAGCCAGGGCTGCCCCTAGAGGAGGCTCTCGCCCCCCAGGGACCTCATGGAGCAGCCGCGCCTGCTGA